TAATTGCCACGCGGACAATATCCGTGCCTGGTGGGATGGTGCTTTATATACATGCTCAACGACCTGCTTGTACTCGTAGTCTCATTGTGACACGTCGTTGAAGATGGTGTTCTGTAGCCCACGTCGTGTAACCAATGACGTAGAAACTTAAACAACAAACACGGCATCTCCACATCACGTAAATCAACACCAGATACAACATAATATTGTATGTAGAGTATGCACAGCCATACGCCTCCACGTGGGTTGCCAGAAAACACTCAGTCGTGGAAGCAAACTTGATATAAACTGATAGCTGCTTGCTTGGTAACGGTAAACAAAACCCAACCGTCATAATATTGCTGTAATTGGTTACGTTACCTCATAGAAACATAGACAGAGGTAATCACTGCTGGAGAACAGGAACTGCCGTTCCGCACGTAAACAGGCTGATTACGTATAGATACAGTTTAAGTAGAATGTCTCGAAGGATGCCTTGAACACTGATCAGCACGGGCTGCATTGTGCATCTCCTATGTCCTCCCAAACACAATTTGTACGCTGTAATGTGAACGAATTCCCTTGTTGGACACAAACCTTTTTTCTTTACAATGGTTTGTCATGTCGATCGGGAGATTGAGGAGGTTATTGCTTGTGTTTGGAGTTAATGAACAGGTCTTCACCACAGAGACAAAGAAGTCGGAGTTAAATCAAATTGTATATGAATCGAGGTTATTATACCGAGTTGGGGGTCTCTCTGGAATTAGCTTTGAAAAAATATTTTCTTTAAAGGAATTTGTCCAGTAATACATATTCAGATAGGGTTAGAGTGGCTATCACCATGGGAGACAGACCATGACATACTCAGCTGGCATTCATAAGGGAGATACTAAATAGCCTTCCTTGTAGCTATGATAGAGGATACATGAGAGCGGTATAGTTTATATCTAACGAGGAACCCAATGCCTTTGACATTAAACGCCATACATATTTCAAGAGTTGAACTCTATATATACCTGTTTATTCCAACGATAGGATCACCTTTTTAAACATTGTAAATGATTCAGTATACTGTAAACCTCTCTGTGCTTATATTGTGAACATACAATTTATTCAGTCTTTAAACACTCCGGGCTATAACAAAGTAATATACCAGAAACATCTAATATTTCATGCAATACGCTGGTGTTCATCATAGAACTTGTACTGGTTTCCAAACAGCTTGTCAGTGTTAAATGTCGCCGTATTGATTTGAAACATTCTTCAAATATTCCAGTTCTCAAGTTTTGAAACTTCTTGCCGTGAGATCGTTTTCAAGCCACTTCAAATTAGCCAGACCCACTTTCCCCATTTTTCTGTTGATTTGCTTGTTATCGAGTGGAGCAGGCAATTGTCTAGCAGTACTTCGCCTGCTTGCTGTTCAATTCAAATTTGATTTTCATAATTATCATAAAGTAAATCGTTGATAATATGATTATCTCCAGCCAAGACGTTTAATGTTGATTCAAACACACGGAGGTAATGATAAAAAGTGCGCACCGTACCAATTTTAATCGAATTTTAAAATTCAAGAACACTTCCACCGAGAGGACGGGAATGCTGCCATTACATTCTGACAAGAACGAGGACAGAGAAGTATTGTGTACTGCCGATCAATCATTATGTGTGTATTATGTGTTCAAGGAACGACCCTATATTGCCAGTTTTCAGTGAGAGGACGGTTAGGAGAACCCAACACTCCACAGCGTTCTAAATATACCTGAAATCTGAGCGATGTTACAACGGTCCCGTCACTATTGTTGCAGCTCAGACGTAATCATGAAAAGAAACGTCCGACAACATACATAATCTGTTTTTACAATTATGTCTAGCAATTATAAATAGATGCTACTTATCTCGCTCTTAATTACCTGTGAATATGAACTTTCGTGACCGAGGTAACGATGTGAAATTTCTTACCGTAACCTCTTTCAACAGCTCCTCGGGTAGAATAATATGATCCACAGTGTACCCGCGGCAAAGTTTGCGGTTTTTTCTCCATATCTTTCTCCGCATCGACATATCCAAGAAGGAAATGCACACTTGGGGAATATGTGTAAATCTACTTACGAATATTTACAAAACATTGGCACAGATACACAAACGGCGGTAGCTCATCCATGGCAAGAACACAACACACTGTCATCGAATATTCCACATCCGACGAGAAGCCATGCCCGTAATGCGTCCTGCATGAACCTGTCAACACTAGCTATCCTTCCGCTGGGTAAGGCGGCCCAGACTGTGTTTATGGTCGAGCACGTGTGGTGATAGTGTTGGAACGGATTCAATTCAGTCTTGCGGCCGAATACATCTCCGTGTCACGGTGGGAAGCGAGTCGGATGCCGGGTCTGTAGTCATGATATTGATCACCTACGCGTGCAGCTTGTCAATCAGAGGTCGCGTGCGCGCGATCGGAGCAGACGACCACGTGCTACCATTGATGTCAAATTGGCGATGTGTTGAAGGATCGAAATTTGCTTTACTCGTGAAATCCGACGTAGAAATAGTATGACTGTGGAATTGTGGACTGTGTACATGATGTCTTCCCGAGTAACAAATATTGCCAGTATCGTTTACGGCTTAAACTTGAGAATGGGACTATCTTTAGTCGGAGAGAGAGGAGCGGGACACTTTTCAAATGTCAGAGAATGTTGGACTTCCAGCTAATGCATAATAACGGCACACGAGATGGTAATTTGCCATGTTTGCAGTGGCAAATACCAAATCTTCATTGCCACAAGGGTTTTCGCTGTCGTCGAGCAAATATTCTCCCAAACATGTCCTTATATGGATGAATCCGTTTGTCGTGGCACCACTTCCATCGATCGTCTGTCTGTTAACTCAACAGTCTGGGTATATCTGGTACAAAGATTTCGGATAAAGCGAAATATCGGTTAAAAGAGGAATAGTGTTACCACCCAACCGCAATCATTTGCGTGTTTGTTCTCATGGTGTGTTCAAGTTTGCGGGTGTGGGGTGTGTTCGTGCCTTACATCGCATTTTGCTGACAACGAATTCAGTTTGGACCAGAGAATCCTGTGATTGACGTTATGAGCATCACCAACGCTGAAAGCAGAGTTTATTGTACCACTACGTGAGTGGTGAGTGAGTGAGTATGGGTTTACGCCGCTTTAGCAATATTCCAGCAGTATCACGGCATGTCACACCAGATATGCTCTTCACACATTGTATCCATGTGGGGAATCGAAACCGGGTTTTCGGCGTACGTAACGAGCCAACGCTTTAACCACTAGGCTACCCCACCGCTCTGTACCACTACGGGTGTATGGTATGTGCAAATATAGTGGTTCAACGACATTGTTACAATATTTCAGCTGTATAACGTCCTGTCAGCTTAATGTTTTGTTGGGGCGGTGGGGTAGCCTAGTTGTTAAAGCGTTGGCTCGTCACGCAAAAGACCCGGGTTCGATTCCCCACATGGGTACAATATGTGAAACCCATTTCTGGTGTCCCCCGCCGTGATATTGCTTGAATATTGCTAAAAGCGACGTAAAACCATACTCACTCACTCACTCACTCAGTCGCTCACTAATGCTTTGTTTGTTGTTTTACGCCGCACACAGCAATTTTCAAACTATATGACAGCCCTCTGTAAACAATCGAGTCTGGACCAGACAATCCAGTGACTGACATCATGAGCATCGATCTACGCAATTTAGATACGATGACATGTGTCAACCAACTCAGCTCCGATCCCGTTAGTCGCCTCTCACAAGAACAGGTTGCTGAAGACCAATTCTAACCCGGATCTTCACGGGTTCAGCACAACGTAGGAGGTAAATGCAAGTGTTAGACGTTCACCACGTTGGTGAAACCCACGAGCCCGGGCTGGTGTTGACATGCCTAGAAACATAATCTGTCTAAACCAAGATTCGAACCCAGGAAAGTAAGGTCTCTGCTCTGGCGTGACAACGCGACGCTACTCTGCACAGCAAATTACCGTGATTTAGAAGAGTGGAACCTCACGAGTCCCAGGTTTTGAGAAACAGTAATTTCTATGTTTTGAGTAAATGAATGCATATGTTCGCATTTACGCCATCCACTCAGATTCCAATGTGCTTTTAATTTCCATTATATCACAGTAGTACCTACGAACTGACTTTCACTTTGTATGAGTTCATTCAGGCGAGGGAAATCCGAATGAACGTCGGAGCTATAAAGTGAATAAGCGAAAAGTTAGCATCCCCTCGGCAATAAATCAGCAATTCGACGACCCAGTTAAATTATACTATTTCGTATTTGAAATTTTGTAGAGGCCATGTTGAGAAGCAACATGAATAATTCAACAGATGCGATATTATACATAGCACAAGGTAATTCTCAGATTTCTACATTAACGAAATAATTGACTGCTTTTGCCTGTAATTGATATATACCTCATTAAGTATATATCCTCTTACCAGGACTCACATTTACAGCTGTCCTTCTTTATGGATACACAAGGACGTAGTGTTATTTCAGATATGATTCTCATTAATATTTAATTCTACTTCATTGCGATATTTGTATGTCAAGTGCAAATGTACAAAGCACGATTTCTGTTGCGTAGGCCGGTGGGGTAGCCTTGTGGTTAAAGCGTTGGCTCGTCACGCCGAAGACCCAGGTTCGATTCCCCTCATGGGTACAATGTGTGAAGCCTATTTCTGGTGTCCCCCGTCGTGATATTGCTGGAATATTGCTAAAAGCGGCGTAAAATTAAACTCAGTCAGTCTTTTGCGTAGCCGCTGTAACATAGACTTGGGAAGGTCGTAGCTGAGGTCGCATTGTGGTGTTGTGGTCGTCGGTGAGCGACACAAAACTCGTGTGCCATCATATCAGCGTTTTAGACATCAGGACTCGATATCTGATGGAATATTCATCTTGACGATGCGACATCAACCACGCCGACATACCCAATCAAGTGTGCAAAAACACGCTGGAATTCAAAGTAAAATGAAATAACCGTTAGTCTGCCCTACCTGCCGTCGACGTAGTCTCGTGTTCGGTATAGGCACAAAGGCGATGTCTGCACGTTTATATCTGTCGTTCCGGTTTTCTGTAATAGAACCCAGCATTACATTACATACATCAAAGTTATATTTGGAACATTTTAACAAAAAACTTGTCCATCATTTACATATTCACTGGAATGACTTAATGAATAAATTATTTTTATACAATTGAAATTTTAACTATTGCAATGTTATACAAAAAATTAGATATATCCCATTTTGTACCCAAACGTAAAGTATTTTGATGAAAATACAACTGTCAAATATAAATATTTGAGATGAATCAATTGCTGTGTCCGTTGAAAAGACGTTAATGATGCTGGATAATTACGCAGTGACGATGCGTGAACCTAAATGACGGTTACTGGAGGATGCGGTGAACGCGTACGTTGAGGCGTGCTTACAGCCATAGTACTTAGGAAGGTCGTATAGTGCAAAATCCTTCTCTACTAACACATTGATGGAACTGGAGTGACTTGATGGAGATACTGGTTAATCGTAAGGAGAATATGCACTGGAGGTTGGAAGATTGACAGATTAGACTGTAACTAACTACATCGGATACAAGCAGTGAACATACTTAGAAAGGTGGTTTTCTAGTAATCGCTGTGGAAACGAATATACATCATATCCTAATTTAATTTTCATCTGATTTCAGATGGGATACTTTGTCAACAGTTTCACATGATATGGCGTGGTTAAAAGTTGTTTTTCAAAGTAAAAGTAAATTTTAAGATAAAATACAGGCCAAATCTGGCTACAATAATATATGACTTTGAAACATTTTTAGAATCAATAACTTGATTTTGAAAATAAATAAAGGAAGGTTTCTGTATAAATTACCCCCCAAAATATATGTCAAAATATTTATTTTGGGAGCATGCCATTGAATAGCTACAACTTTTAATCTAATTTCTTGTAACCTGTTAACAAAAGAGTCATTGGGACAGCTGTTTTCAGCGAGTTGGGTTTAACGCAGATGTCAGCAGAACAGCAGGTATGGCAGGACGTGTCAGCGAAATGAGTGAGTGAGTGAGATTAGTTTTACGCCGATCTCAGCAATATTCCAGCTGTATGGCGGCGGTCTGTAAATAATCGAGTCTGGACCAGACAATCCAGTGATCAACAGCATGAGCATCGATCTGCGAAATTGGGAACCGATGCCATGTGTCAACCAAGTCAGCGAGCCTGACCACCTGATCCCGTTAGTCGCCTCTTACGACAAGCATGGGTTACTGAAGGCACATTCTAACCCGGACCTTCACGGGTCAGCGAAATGAGATTGAACAGTTAAACCTGTAAGAATATGAGCAACATCAACCTCAATGGCATGCGATGACATTGGAACAGTGTGAATGAATCCTGTTTTACACCGCAATAAGTAAAATTACAGCTAGATCAAAATCTCACAAACGCCAAGTCCCGGAGACGTGAAAATTATAGTCAGATATGTAATAATCGGGTTGAAGTTTACAGTGTTCCATTTCCCAACAGATCAGCCATTACCCTCCACTGGCCACACAAGGTCATATCGACACAAAGCCAGCCAGTTCACAAGGTTGACACCCGGTGTAAAACTAGTCAGCTGTTTCGACAAGCCTGAAACCCTGGTGCGTATTCAGATCTGGCAACCCGATGTGGTAGAATACAATGAAGTAAACATAAAATTTAAAATCATAATACATTCAACCAACTTCCGAGTGCCAATATCGAGACAACGTATGAGACATACAGCTTACATAGAAACTACCAGGAAGAGCGAGTGAGTGAGTTTAGTCTTACGCCGCTTTTAGTAAATTTCCAGCAATATCACGACGGGCGACACCAGAAATGTACCCATGTAGGGAATCGAACCCGGAACTTCAGCGTGACGACGGAACGTTTTAACCACTAGGTTACCCAACCGCACCCAGTAAGAAAGATAAAACGCCAACGTCATAACGTCATGTCGTTTACGTGCTGATTCCACGGGCATATACAGCATAGCAGAGATTACATGAATGAGTGGCTGAAAATTCAGGAATGGCACCTGGTGTTAGTGAAAAGTTCAACACGCCGCGTCACCAGTAGCACATTTCACCAATATCTAGTAACTCCAGGCTTGACAACAAGGACGAAATCAATATACAACATTAACACGCTACAGAGACTGTACCCAACTGCATGTTCACGCCTGTAATCCCCTTATCGTTATCACAATACAATATTTACCCGCCACTGTGACATAAAAGAATCTGCACATTTATCAAGCTGGTTATTAAATAATTCAAGATTAATGTGAGACTCGCCAATGCCAATTGTGTTAATCCATTGCACAATAGCCTGCATTTCTCACGCGATACTCGAAGATCAATGACGTCGCATTGATCTGTCAAACACGGTCGTTGTGACTATTTTCCGGATTGAATAGTCAACATGTGATTCGTTAACCATGTGCAAAGCCATTGAGGAATGCTCGTGGTTAATTAAATAATGTTTGTTGAGCAGTAGATATTATCGGTTGTCGTCGGCAAAACCAGAAGACATAATGCTAATTATCTTGCCTTTGAAGGAGCCGAACTTGGTTTTAAAAATCGTAAGATTTGAGATCGCTAGATGAGTTGATGAGGAATGGCTAGAGCCAAATTGATGATAAAGTTGGCCTATTTTCATCACGTGAGCAATTAAGGAGACAATCGTTACTCTGTTGACTATATACTGAATTAATTTAAAGGTCAAACATCCAGACTGATAGGCTGGTATGTGCTAATTGAATCTCGGGGTCGTTAGGATCTCTTTGTAGGGGTAAGTTGTATTGACAGGGATTCCAAACTTATGTATTTAGCAAAGCTTTCTTGTCAGTCAGTTAGATCTGGTATGTATACATTACGCTGTCACAGATGAGATGTTCAATTATTGGCACCACGACCACCTGACCTGACCTTGACCTGATTATGACCTGTCCATGACCTGTATGCATGTCGCCCATTGATTCATATCATAACTTATCAAGTTTACATTTTGTGTGCACAATTTGTATTTGGATCTGTATACACATAATCTGTGCAATCGACCTTTCTATAAACCCAAAACATTTAACCATGTTTCACTACTAATAACATCGATGTACATATTCATGATATTAACAATCAAAGAATGATAATATAATAATATTGATCATATTGGCTGTATTCAAAAGATTAGCATTCATATTATCAACCATATCGTGTGTATTGATAGCAATAATCATACCGGCTTTGTTCACAATAACAACCATATACAAGATGTTTTCACAATAACAACCATATAGGATGTAATCACAATAACAACCATATAGGATGTATTCACAATAACAACCATATACAGGATGTATTAACAATAACAACCATAAACAGGATGTATTCACAATATTAACCATATATGATGTATTCACAATAATAACCATATAGGATGTATTCACAATAACAACCATATACAGGATGTATTCACAATAACAACCATATACAGGATGTATTCACAAAAACAACCATACAGGATGTATTCACAATAACAACCACATACAGGATGTATTCACAATAACAACCACATACAGGATGTATTCACAATAACAACCACATACAGAATGTATTCAAAATAACAACTATATATAGGATGTATTCACAATAACAACCATATACAGGATGTATTCACAATAACAACCATATACAGGATGTATTCACAATAACAACCATATACAGGATGTATTCGCAATAACAACCATATACTGGATGTATTCACAAAACAACCATACAGGATGTATTCACAATAACAACCATATACAGGATGTATTCACAATAACAACCATATGCAGGTTGTATTCGCAATAACAACCATTTGCAGGTTGTATTCGCAATAACAACCATTTGCAGGTTGTATTCGCAATAACAACTGTTTGTGTTGTATTCTTAATAATTGTATCAGTAATAACCATTCAGGATGTATTCATAGTAATAACTACATAGGATGTATTCACCATGCCATTCCTACAGATTGTAAACAAAAGAACCATATAAACTGTACACACAATAACACTATCGGCCGTATTCACAACAAGCAAATAAACTGTTTGAATCAGTAACAACCCCATATGCTATGCTACACACGGCGAAATGGAGGCAATATCGAGTTACAGGTAAAGATCGGAATCAGTTTATTCCATTATCATTGCTCCAAACGCTAACCTCGATTAGCTATACTTGTAAGATCGATAGAGGAGTGTTACAGAAAATTTGAATTATCCCCAAAGACATCCACTCTCAAGAACGTATTGTTTTGTCTAAGAATGAAATAATCGAGATGAAATATTCATCAGCATACCGGTCCCATGGGATCTTTTCTATCCAATTCTAAAGATCAGAAAAGTCGGAATACAGTTTAGGGATTCATGCAATCTCTACAATGCGTATAGGGGACTATATGTATACTTCTCACAAGAAGTTAAGAACATCCGACTTCATATGACAATAGTCAGTCTGTCATGGCACATAATAGTCACGTCACAGATACGTAAGTCCGTTGAGTACCATACATATATACAGTGTTTGCAACACTTTAATTTGCCAGTTGGCCATCAGGGCCTGCTGCCGCCTGCAGGTTTTAAAATCTACAGGCCTGAATGATACCTGCAGGCCCATTATGTTAAAGTCAAACCAATAAAAACAAATTAGACTATACTGTACAGTTTCACATTGTGTCTAATCAATTAGCAAAGCCTATGGCGCAGAGAGACGTTTTAATTTTTTAAAGACTGGTGTTGACATTCCTATGCGCAAAGCACTGAAATACCAGGGAGTGAAACTGTAAGTTTTCGTAACATGGATCATGTATGATTCCAGAACGTTAATATAGAAAACAATTATGGTAAAGATTCCAGTTGAAAAACAAAACAAATGACAGATAATTTACTGAAGGCCACAACGCCTGCAACTATTTGGAACTGCCGGCCGATACAATAACAACCGGCGCTGGGTCTCCGGGCCGTCGAATATTTCGAACGCTGCATATATATACTATATTTTAACATGAC